CTAGCTGAGGGGTTGTTGCCAGCTATCAAATCAGGCTGCCCAGGCTGCATCCAACCTGGCCTTGGCACCTCCAGGGGTGGGTCAACCACAGCTCTCAGGGCAGCATGTGCCAGGGCCTCACCACCCTCTCTGTGAAAAACTTACCCAACATCTAATCTGAATTTGCATCCTTAATGAACTTTCTAAATTATTAAAAAAAAACAACAGAAACTGGGAACCAAAGGTCACCAAATCCCCATGCCAGTGCTCCTGGGGCTAACTAGTTGTAGCTGTAAAATTTGGCTGGGCGGACCTTTTGAATAGTTTATGTGTCTATTAAAACATTGTTTATGTCTTCTGTTCACATGGCACTTGAAGTGCCTGGCACCAGTTTCTCCTGTACAGTGATGCTGTATCAGTGTTTCGAGATCAGCTGTGGAGTCTGTGCAGCTAGCTGAGCACAAGTGACACACACCCTTTTGCCCAAGCTCTTCTCTTTCCCATCTATCCCTTCCCTAGTAGATCGGTCACAGGGAGCATTCAACTTGGAAGCTGCTCTGTTGTTGAAATGGTAGATCTAGCCTTAAGGATGCCTGTAAGAACTGGAATTAAAAGGCTTAAAAATGAGCGTGGTTGGGAGGTTTTTAAGGTCATGTTTATGCAAGTGAAACAAGGTTGAAGAAGTTACTTCCTTGTTGAAAAATGATAGGGCATTAATCTCACTTAGGATGATAGCAGGCCTCTAAATAAGATTTCCTTTTCTTACATAATATGGGAACAATGTACAACAGCTAGAACAGGGGGAAAGCTGTAGTGCTGCTGGTGCTCAGACATTAGAGGCTGTGGCCCTGGTGCAACACTCCTCAGCGCAATAATGAGGACCTGCAGAAGTACAGCATCTGCTATGAATGCATTGACTGCATCTTAACAATAATCCATTGGAAAGCTACTTGCATCATTGATTGTGCAGGAGGGACTAGTGGTATGAGCAAAACCACAAATCTCTTTATATGAAGAGCTTTATTCCGAACATAGTAATTAAGCATTAATTGGAAGTTTAGTGAGTAATGGGAATAGTTGCAGGAAACTAAAAGAACTTGTCCACGGGGAAAAATTGCATAGTGCCAGCATCCCTGGGGAGCAGAAAAGAATTGCAGAGAAAGCTTGGATGTTTTTTTCACATTAATCTCAGATGAAATTCCATTCCTAATTTATTAACATTTTGGGGAAAAATTATGAACGTGTATTGAAGGCTTACATCCAGTACCCAGAACTCATAACCATGGGAACAAGGCACAAATGAATTTATGGGGTTGTAGCATTGTTCTGACGCTAAGGGAATGGGAAGGACTACTTCACAATGGCCATTTTAGACATTACCTGAAAGTAAAGTCTTTCCAGGCATACCGCTAATCAGTATTCCAACTGAAGTAAGAGATGCTTGAGAACCTTAACTTCCAGGAAGATGCATTCTCCTCTACAAGAACCTTTAAAAAACCTTATTAGAGATAAGTCAGCATTGTGGTGTTCTCTAGGACTTGACTATTACTTCCTTAAATCCAGAAGTTGACCATTACTTCCTTTTTTCATAAATCTGATTTATTGATTGTCAAAAGTGGACAAAAATAGCAGCTGAAAAAAGGGGCAAAATTAAATCAATTCTCTGGTGCATCAGGCAGCAGGAATTGTATCTGGTGTAAATTCACTTCCAAGAAGCTAACAAGATGAAATTTAAGATGGCCAGAACCTATTTTCTTTAACACCACAGCAAACAGGAATCTTATAGTGATACCTTAGAAAGTGGGTTGATATTTCAGGATGTAATTCTGCATCACAATTAAATGTCAAATGTTTTAATACATGTATAATTAAGGAGGAGGAATTACTGCTTTCAGACACCATTGGGTTTATGCCTGACACTTCATTTGAAACACTAGCACAGTTATGATTGTTACACTGTCCTTAAGAGACAAGAAGGCCAGTGTCTCTCTCTAATAAAGGTGTTGCAACAAGGCAGTTTACTTCTCACATCTATTAATCTGTTGTTGGGGGTACCTGGGACAAGTCAGTGTCATGAAAGCCTACATCCAGATGTGAATTCAGTCTTGGGTTTTCCTATGCATACTTCAAAGCTCTTCTATAATAAAACAAGAACAAGTAAAACCTGAAACTTTCTTCTTAATGTATTTCTTAGGACATATTGCTTTCCCTTTTTGATAACTTCACTTAGAGGAATGGGTTTGGAACCAGCTGACTTTAGTTCCATCCCTGCAAAATTCTATTTTGTCAAGCACAAGTATTTCTGGGAACTTATATTTGTTGCACCTGACAGCATCATGCTGGGGCTCTGGGAGGCTAAACTTAACGAGCGGCCTTTCTAAAAGCATTTTAGATAACTAGAATTAAAGAAAAAAAACTGTATTGCTTGTTGGAAGACTGATTTCCAGGTTGAAATCCTGTCACTGTACAGTTTGATGTTGTGTCACATAAATGTAAGATATTTTTACACAACTTGTGGTTTCAAAAGGAACCATGTGTGACAGCGCTCTTATAGAAGCATTTATAGAAGCATTATTTGCAACCAGAAGTCTCTAATAAAAGCTTATAGTCTATTTAATGCTTAATATTGTACAGAAATTAAAGAACATTTTCTCATAATATACACCTGGGTACACATGAACTATTCTGATTGGATAATTTGTTCAAATTTCTTTAGTTCAACCTATTATATTTTTGCTATATTACTTAGAATATTTTGGCTTAATGTAAGAGCTTTCCCGCAAAATGCTTTAATTTCATTGCAACTGTTATGAAATGACCTATCACTCTGTAGTGTCCTATCTGTATGGGACACCTCATTTCTGTGTACCATTTTTCATCTCAGGAGTGTGGATGAGAAGGAAGAAATGTTATAAACCTATATGAAAATGTTTTAGATAGTCTTGCCTTCTAAATGCCATTTATTTCCAGAGTCATTTAAAATAGATTATGATGAGAGACTTTAAGATGCACCTGTGATTAGAATTTTTTGGGGGAAAAACTAGTCCAGTCAATTGACTTCCAAAAAAAAAATCTAAAAAATAACAGCTTATATGATGTTTATACACATCATAAAAACATCTCTGTTCTGCTCCACATCTTTCTCAGCCTTTCTCAGCTTCTCAAATAATATTTTCTAAATAAGTAAGTAATAACAATCAATTCTTCTGCATAGACCTGCTTGGTCTGTTCCCAATTAAATTTTTATTAGCAGAAACTCAGCACTTTCATGTAACATACAGATTCTTGAGAGAGAATACCTATCAAGGTGATTATGTGCACTGCACAGATACAGATGCTCCTGAGCTTGATTCTGGCTGCTGCTGTAGCTGCTCTATGCTGGTATATCAAGTTGTATTACATCAGTTTGCAACAGGCATGAATGTACCTAGGGAAAAGTGAGTCCTCAAGAGTGAAAAGCCTGTAGCTGGAGACTGGCCATATGGCCATATACCAGAGACAAAACTCATGCCACCTCTGAAATGTCACCTAGCCAGCTCCTGTGTTAAGGAAAAGGCGTAATACAACATATCATTACTTTCTCTCCTTTGATATCCTGTGTTAAGCAAAGCTCAACTAAAGCCAAGACCTGTAGTTACCATTTTTTGTTCACTGGTGCCTGGGGGGCTTTTTTCTTGTTTACATCCTAGCAATGTCTTCTTTGTGTCTGATGTTTTCAATGCGAGCTTTTCAATTTTATAAACATCTAATTTGTTACCTTCCTTCCCATGGCCTTTATTTTGTTCAAAATTCCATGCCTCGTTTATAAATGTAATTTAATTATCACCGTTCCTGCTTGTAATTAGACAGCAGAATTTGCTTCAGACTTTCCAGTTGTTCATCTTATAGTAGACTGATTTTTAAAATTGCTATTTATTAGTGCAGGATCTATTCTCTCTTTCCAGAAAATATCCTCTTGTGAGATAACTCAGAACATTTTGGCTTAACAGATTCATATCAGTATATCTCTAAAGAAAAGTGCAAGAATAAAGCCATTTTTCTGTGACATCTCATATGTCATTTTTACTACATTTTAAAGTAGGTATTTTTTCAGTGCCTGTTGATCTAACTGCATCTGTTTGCTTTTCATCCTCTAATTTAGCTCAGGCTGTAAACTGTCCAAGTAACAATTTGAGTGATGCAGCAACAGAAGGTGACCCAGATTACACAACACTGTACGCTAATGCCAAGTCTTCTTGTCTAATGGCAGCTGCTCAAAGCTTTGTCTTATTGCAATTCACATTCAGCATACACAAATCAAACAGCCTCCTCAGACAGACACGCATCCCGCCTGTCTTCATTTTAAGCATGTTTAAGAGCTGCTGCTTTACATAAACATACACCAGCTGAGGCCACTTAGCCTCCTTGGATTTGATTTAGCCAACATCTCTCAGCCCTCTGAGAAAATTGCCAAAGAAACCCACTGCCATTCTCAGCACTTTGCATGCTTCTCTTTTTGTGGAAGTTTGCTGTAAATATTTTCTCTATTAAAAGTAGTTGAGTTTTCATACTCTCTCAAATATATTAGTTGTTTAGCAACTGATTCCTTTGGAGTTTTAATCAAAAAGTCAACATTTATATTATAAAATAATGTGTACTGCTAAAATACGTAACTTGTACAGATGTAGTAAAATATTATGTATTTAAAACAGCTAAGTTTACGTATACTGGGTGAATGGTAACAAAATGCAGACTTCATAGCTAAAATTTTATCAGAACATTTTACTGCCATGCTTTCAGTATGTGAAACAAAATAATAAAAAATGCCTTCGTTCTTCTTTTAAGGCAAAATATTAGTATGAAAATCAGGAAAGCCAACGCACAGTGAATTTATGCAACTTAGCTTTCTAGAACCAAATCTTTTTGGCATCTCCATCAAATGTTTAAAGTCTTCTGACAACAGAAGCTTCCTGCTGGAAGCGCACATCTTCCAGTCTACCCAGAGGACACGTCAGAACAATAAGAAAAAGAACCAATCTTACTTTTTAAGTGGAGGAGCAGGAAAAAACTGAGGTAGAAGACGAATAGAGAGTTAATTCTTGAGTGAGCCATGTTCATCCTGATAGGACATCCTCTGACAAGTTGTCTCTTCTCCAAAAGGCTGGTGCTGATCCTCACAGCTTTCTCCTCATCTCCAGCGCTAAGGTGCCACCAGCAGCACCGAGCCCACCACAGCCCATCGTTGCCCGTGGCCCTCAGCAGCCCGCTCCCTGCAGACTTTGATTTGGAAGGCAGTTGTTCTTGCTAAGGTTTTACTTCAGCAGGTCCGAGTGATTTTTCAAACCTGGTGCAGATTTGTGTGTGAGCTGGACTGGAGTCTTGCCCGGCTGTCAGCAGCGGGAGTGTCACAGTCTGTGCGGTGTGTGGCTGGCAGGGCAGGCAGCACTCTGTGCATGGAAAGATAAAGAGCCTCCTGCATCATCTTCTGCTGAAGCTCCATTACATCACGTTCCTTCTGATTCAGAGTATAAACCCTTCGTGCCTTTTCACATGAAGTCTGCTAACAAAAACTTTGTGTTTTCTGCATTTTTTTTTTCTGTGTCATACCTCATTAGCAGACGAAGTAAAAAGATGAAACACTCCCACTTTCAGTCTTTTTGTAGTCATTTATTACTTGATTCTCTTCCAGAATCTTAGCTACTTAGTTAGTTTGTTTGTTGGGGAGGAGGGGAAGGGTCGTTGTGGTTTTCTTGTTTGTCTTTTAAACTGCTTTTAGTTTGTTTAGGGGTTTTGTTGAGATTTTCTTGTTTATTTTGTCTTTTAAGCTGGTTTTAGTTACTTCTGTCATCTTTTTTTTTTTTAACAAAATAATATAAAAACTTGGAGGCGCTATCAGGACCTGCTCTCTCACTGTAATTTTGAAGTAGGAAGGCCTTTCATTTGCAAAGTCAGGGAAAGACGGAGTTAGATGGATAAGAAAAGGGGATGGTGCCAGGGGCCAGACCACTTCTTTCTGGCCACATCTGCCTTCAGTCAGCCCAGTGATGCAGCAGGAGCCTCCCCCCAGGCTGCTATTCCTTCCTTGCTGCACTGCACAGGCACAGGCAATGCCCTTTCTGCTCAAAGGTGCCTCCATGTCTGATGCTCATCAGCTGACCTGCAGCTTTGTTCACAGAACGCAACAATATCGTGTAAATGTGTATGCTGATGTTTAAGTTCAATAGTCTGAGTTGCCTTTAGGATAGCCAAAAGAGGATGCCAAAAGAGATGCTTTTTCATCCTGTTTGAAACTTCATTCTGCCTTTCTCAATGCCTATTTCAAATTTTTCTTCTTTCTGATGAGCAATTCATATCCCAACGTTTAATGATGAGCAGATTAAATTAACTTACCACTCCTCCAGAAGTTGCTGAAAGAGAAAGGTTTGAATTTCTGTGGTGTTGGTACTTTGTGAACATCATTTGCATGCAGTGAGATGTAACATCCGAATGTATTTTTGATACTTTCTCAGTATCTCTTCATTTTGATGAGATTCTGCAGTTAAATAAGTTGTAGGCTGTGCCACTTTCTCGGAGAAAAGGTCTTGTGTTGAACATTCTGCTTTACCTAAGTGCTGTCCTTTCTGTTCTGATTGCTCCTTTACAATAATTGCAGTGCACTGTGGTATCAGACTATACACACCAGTGTCATGTCCTCTAAAATATTTTGCTGCATCTCTGGCAGGCAAACTTCATCACCTAACATCTTTTGTTGCCTGATACAAGCACAGTTTTCAACTTTCAGATGACAGCAGCACTAATTAATGGCGTGTCTTTTGCCTGTCACTGCTAGATGGTGAGACTGTTTACTCATCCAATTTAAAGTGCAATTTTTATTAATGTGATTCTGTGCCAAATACAATTACAGGTGATTTTCTTAAGTAATTAATCTTTTCTAGTCTGCAAAATGCTGCAGTATTTTTTAATCTAAACTCTAAAGTGAACAGAACTAGTGAAGCTAAATATTCCATATAAAATGAAAAAATTCCCTTGAAAGTAGTTGATGCAAATTTAAAAATCATTTGTAGCTGATTAATCTGAACTTTTTTTTAGTAGGTGCTTTTTGGTCATTGGCAATGAAAGCACAGGTAAATAGTCAGAAGCAGATGGATGATTTCATGGAAGAGTGAAACCATGATACAGATAATGTTGCCTAGAGAGACGCTGTGGATATGCAAAACTTGGTGGCACTGCCCTTCCTGGGCAGACTGTTTGAGCTGAGCCTACTTTGAGCAAGTGGATGGACCAAAGATCTCTGGAGGTCCTTTCCTACGCATATCATCCCGTGATTTTCTCAGCATTAGATTTTCTGCACAAGCTCCAGCCTGTTTTAGATCAGTTCCCAGTTTTGTATTCCTAATGTAGAAAATCTTCTGCTTTATAATATGCTCTTGTCATTGTTTTTTTGTTTGTTTTACTAGAATCTTTGGTTTTCTTGCTAGTATTCAGCCACACTTTTTATTTTCATCTTCTGTTAAGTACTTGACAAATTTCATCACAGTTATGTGCTGCTGTTCACCTTTTGTAGAATTTCACTTTCTGAAAAATCTATGAAACATGAGGCATGAAATCATCTCACAACTCAGTTGTGAATGTCCCTTGGGCCTTCAAACCACTAGCAGACTTCTCAGCCTACACTGATTCTCTCATTCAAGCTGTCCTGTTGAATTCAGATAAACATATGGAAGATGCTTTGACGCTCGTATGAGAAAAATGAGCAGAATTTGATCTATAGAACGATAGCTGTGTCCAAGGTACATTGTAACAGATTCATTTTAAACCACACATTTTTAAGAGAAAAGCAGTAGAATTATATTTATCTCCAGCTAAATGCAGGTGCCCCCTGTATGAATTTAACAGCATGCATAGATACTGTCATCATGATTGGGGCATTAGAACATATTTCTTATGAACTTCTTGGGAACTCAGGATAATGGAGCCTGTTAGAACAATGGATCTGACAGTCCATCTTCCTGTTCATGATATTGATACCATCATTAATAAGCACAGCTTACATTATGTTTAGATTGCAGTTCTTAGGATGATTATGAATGGACAAACCAACATGAATAAGGCTAAAGAGAGAGTTGCATTGTAATAGGAAGTTGTTTACTTCATTAACAAAACTGCTACAGATTCATTTGCATTTTAATTAGGCATCTTGCATCAAGAACAATTCTATGTGTGTGAATTTCACATAACACTTTCGAAGTTTACTGTCTTTAAGATACATTAGGAAATTTCTTTGGCCATAGAAGCTTTTCCACAGATAAATTCTTTATGATTACATTTACCTTAGGTTAGTTTGTGAATATTAGCTTTGAGCTTCCCTTTCTCTGTTGTTAGCATGTACCATTATTTTCTATCCCCTTTGTGAAGTCTTGCTTTGCTCTTTTGCTCCTCCTTGGCCTGAGCAGAACACATCCTACCAGAAGGCCCAGGCAGAGCATGGGCTTTCTGTTTTACCAATCTGCAGACTATAAATGGCTTGCTGAAACTAAAGGGTTGTATTTTACAATGCAAAATTATTTTGCAAGCTCTGCCTAGCCTTTTGCTTCCTTAAACACAATATGCGTTTTAATGTTATGAGCACTTTATTGCTTTTCTGTTTTCCACATAGCCATTTTCCAGCAAAGTAATCTGGGATTTCTACCTGCTAACGTAGAACATGAATGAACTGGAGATTACAGAATTGTCAAGCCAATTCACTCAGATAAATCTTGTTTGGGCTGTGACAGAAATGGTGGGAGCAATGATCCAGCCACTGCTCTAACAGTGCATTCAGCCACAGAACTACAAGCTGTGGTTGCTGGCAGCGGTACATGCTCTGGGTCAGCCACTAGTCCAGGTCCTGCTGTTCAAATCATTGCATTTCTGGAGAGGATTTTAAGCTGCTTTATTTGGGTTGGTTTGTTCGTTTGTTTACATACAGAACCTCTCCTGAGTATTTTACACTAAGCCAAAACAAACGATTCTGTAAGGAACTGCAGGATTCTCCTGGGACTTGCGGAGCTCTGTAGCGTGTGATTCACTTACCTCCATCTTTGATGAAATTTGCCAAATAACATCTATTTATTGTATAGCGTGTGGCTAATACCACCAGGGAAGCAGTTTCACTGGCAGATGAATGCAAGGTCGGGCCTTGTCAACGCAGATGAAAATTTGCAATTAGTATTCTGTATCTTACTGCTAATGGACCGTCTAATCAGGAAGTTTGTCAGTACCAATAATCTTCCTGTGAGCTCCACGGTTACAGGAGTACTTGAAAAATGAAGCAAACAGTGTTTTTACAACAGCACTGATATATTAAGCGCTAAATAGTTTGCAAATTTATATTTTACCTCTGTGCTTTTCACTCTAGCAGAATAGATATGTTGGCTACTGCAATTTGCAGGTAGTGCAGTTTGCAATGGAAATGCAGAACACAGTACTCATCAAAGAGAGTCAGTTGTAACAGGGAAATAGAGAAGTTTCTTAATTTTTTCCAATCTCTAATATCAATTTTTCCCCTTTTTTTCCATTCAGTTATTGTATTGCCTATTTGCATCAACGTTTTTAAAAATGTCTGATGATTTGAGGCTTTTTAATTTACAGGTTACCAGTTGAAGGATGTGACTTCCAGAAAGTGCAAAGCAAAACTTCCCTGCAGGCATCTCTGAAGTATCTCAGCATGGGTCTTGGCAAGTATTAAATTCCTCTTGAAAATGTTGGCCTCTGTGCTAAAGCATTGGAGAATATTGTAGTAACAGTAGGTAGTAGTAAGTGCCCCAAAGGGATATCAAGTTCCTACTAAGTATTGGTTAAGACAGCATTCATCTTAATGCCAATGCACTTCTTATATGGCTGCACTTCTGTACCAAACTACATTCTGAAAGACTGTCAGTTTGAATTATATTGTTCACAAGGTAAAAATGAAATATTCTGGCTTCCAAACTTGTGTTGATTTAGAATATTTCACACCTATTTTATTCACTAAGTGTGACTCTGACTTCAGTGACGAGGACATACATGTAGGTGACATGATGTCACCCTGTTCCCATACCACTCAAAGGAAAATATCCCCTGGATGTAGATGGCACAGCTGGACCTCTGAGCATCATGTTGAATGTGATGGGGCAAAGAGTGGGTATTACTGTTATAATTTAT